AGGAACAAGTGCCTTACTAGTAGTAACAAGAAGCTACTAGGAACAAGTGCCTTACTAGTAGTAGCAAGAAGCTACTAGGAACAAGTGCCTCGAGTTTGGGTAGAGTTGGCAGTGGTTTCTCTTGCCTGCGGCCGTGCCACCAAGAGGAACAGCAGAAGTCATTAATGACGTGGTGCCCCAACGTGCGTGGCGTAGATTCCTCTCCGGTCTCCTTTCCACATTGACTGAGTGTCCCTGAACACTGGCGAGGCTCATGAAGCTCCTCCAGAAGGGCAACATCGATACCCGGAAGCTCCGCTTGTGACCAAAAAGTGTTTCGTTGAGCGACTCCTGCGAGCGGCTCCAGCGGCATGCTGGCGACGGGCTGCGCCCAATTCGTTCCCAAGAGCTGCACCGTTTACGAACTAGACATGTGCCGGAGCGGCAGGGGGCATCCGATAGTGCTATAAGAACTTGATGAGCAAAAGAAGAGCAATTTTCGGATCTGAAAAGGACTGAACTGTGCTGCGAACTGGAACCCCACCGCAGAGCACCGCAGAACTGTGCTGAACTGGAACAGAAGTTCCGAAGTGGAACCCCACCGCAGAGCACCGAACTCGCTGAGGTCAGGCTTTGGAACGCGAGTTCGGTTGCCACCTGACGATCGGTCCGGCCTTGGAGCCAGGAGCCCATGGGCCTGAAGGGTGGGAGGCTCTTCGATCGTGAACGATCGTGAAGTATGAAGTGGTGATGAGTGAAGAGGTCGTGAACATATACTCCAAATCCGTAATAGCTACTAGCTAGCCATGCACCTGTTCCTAATAGCTTCACGCCACGGCGAAGACGTGCACACGAAAGCACCAGACACCGAAGCGGAAGCACTGGTGGCACCTGAGGTCAGGCTTTTACTACGATGGCTACTTCGGAGATAGGCGGCTTGGGGAAGAAAAACTGAAGCTTTATATAACTTGAGCTGGATCATTTCAGGCGGTACTTGAGTTGGATGAGCTAGCTTTCTTCGTCTCATTTCTTCGCCGTGTTACGTGGACAGATGTCACGTGGTCGTTCGAAGTGGGCTCTGGGGGGCTCGGTTGGAAGTGCCATAGGAAGCTGAACGAGAATGACTTCAATGCCATCAACAATCATGCCACGCAGATTTGCAAGGACGGGAAGCGTTGACAACCTCTTCGCAGATTTGGAAGAAGCAAGGGGGTACAGGCTAGTAAGCATCAATCATAAAAATATTATGTATCTATCGATCTATACATCGATATACACCAATGATTTTGTGCAGAATTGTGTCAGGAGTCGCAGCTTTTTCAGCGATGTGTCCTCTCGAAGGAGGAGGTGCATGGCATGGTTATGGGGGTTGGCCCACCCGTAGTAGAAACAACTTTTCGAGAAGTTTTTGAACCAAACATGGTTCTTGCAATTCTTGAGCCATTGGTCATATATAGCCATTAGTACATTAGCCTACTTTTTTTATCGAAGAATCGAATTCCAGGCGCTTGAGCTCTTCAAAGAGAACCCCTTCAAGGCCCAAAGCGCTCGCGCTCGCGCTCGTCGACGACCGACAGGCGTGCTGAGCGTTCCGGCGAGTCGGACGCCGCCTCGCCGGTCCCGCGCCAGGTGCAGTTGATCACCAACAAGGCCGATGGCGACGGCGAGGAGCAAAGGGCATCGCTACGAATTAGGAGCATTTCGGGCGGGCATCGCGACTCGAACGGAGCGATCGGATGCTACTGACTAGGGTTTCTTGGCCTTACTACTAGGGGCAAGAAGCTATTAGGATCAGAAGTCAATTCGAAGTGGATGACGTCGGGGGTGAAGTGAGCGCTGGTGAGTGGCTTCTCAAGCACAGGTGCCAGATGGAGCAATGACGAGTTGCCTCTCCGCCCTGTGTTTTTTGTTTTTTTCAGATGTGGCAAGACGTGGCAAGACTCAAGATGTTGCACAAAGGCCCTTGATGTCCTTGAGTGAAACCTGATATTGCGTTGAATATGAGTTATGGAGTGGCGACTAAATATAGCGAGGACCTTTGTGGTGTTTCTTTTTGCGCCTGGCTACGCCGGACTGGTTTGCGGGAAGCCAGGCTACCGCTGTGGCGACCTGGTGGATCTCTGCCGCGGGCCCCATTTGCCAAACACGAACCGCGCCAAGGCGCGCGAGCGAGGACTTCGCCGGCGCCCGAGATGGAAGAGACAAGGAGATGGGTGGCTGAAGGGAAATTCCGTCATGTTAGGTCTATTGGTTAAGTTTGTTCTTATTTAACTAATTCATGTGTTCTTGATGTGTTTTGTTATGTTATTATCCTTTGTTGTTCTGAAGATCAGAGTGAACTTGATCAGATCTTGGAGTGGGGGAATGGTTCCCGTCTTCAGGATGGGATGCAAGCAAAAAGATTGAAACAGACTTCGGCATCACCCCAATCGCTAGTAGGTTGGAGGCCATTACTACTAGTAAGAAGCTAGTAGGTTGGAGGCGGTTCCTTTTCCAAAAAGCGCCCGTCACGTCTCCCGTTGCCGCCGCCGATGACATCACCCCTGTTCGGAGGCCTTCATGGTGACGAAGAACTCGGCAGCTTACTGGTCCGGGACCACACTCCGAGGCTTTTCCTTTCAAGAAGTATCTCGGTATTATATTGTTTATTAAGAAACGTCGTGCCCGCGCAACAAAGTCGATGAGAAAATGCAAATGAACTCTTTGCTTATTAAGGCACCTGTTACTACTAGCGTGGCACTTGTTACTACTAGCGATGCACTTGTTACTACTAGCTGTAAAACCCCTGAGAATCGCTCAGGCTGGGCGATCAAAACCTCGATTCCCTGCAACGGCTTTATGGCATTGCTTTCCCCAATGACAAGCTGCTGAAGGACGAAGAGTCATGATTGGGACGGAACCGGCGCATGGAAGTCAAACAGAAGATGGATGGTTGATTGAAGTACTTGTGTTTGATTTGAAATGGAAAGATCCTGATTTTCCCACGTGTTCGGCTTTTGGTGGGCGTGATTTGAGACAGTCGCTCGCGTTTTTTTCGTCACAGCTGGCGGTGGATTGGTTCCGGCGGACAGACACCTCCGGTGTGTCTCATGGTGTCGCACCAACGTGTTCACCTGAAGGGAGATGGTTTCCGACCAGGAATACAAGAAGTTCCAGGAGGAAGCAGCCAAGCGCGATCACAGGAGAGTGTTCCGGCTGGTTCTCGATGGAGAATATTGGATGATGAAGGAGGATTTGTATAAGTACAAGTGTTTCTTTGAAAACACTATAAATAGTCAACATAATAGTGTACTAGTATCCTATATATCTATTAGTTGTGTTACTTGTTCTTTTTCCTGTGTTGCGGCATCCGACGGTAGACACTTAGATATTTAGACAACAGACAGTGTCTAGGCGGGTCGGCCGAAACGAGCGGCCCGCCACGGGTCGACCCGTGAACTGAGCCGGAATGCAGCGGTGCAGAGGAACATCGGAAAGCAGCAAGAGCTGATGATGTTGGGCCCTCGACGTCGAACATGGCTCGACCCATGCTGACTTCAGTGCGAAAGGACCTCCGGGTGTGGGTCAAAGCCAGCACACGGGTCCAGGAGGGTCCTCAGATAGACGGCTCTCTCAGTTCTCTGATATCTGAGAAGTGGGATACCGGATTTTTACCCACACCCATATCTTCACATTGAACATCTCCCACTTCTTTTGGGCTTGTTCAAGACCGCTTCTTCCCTTCGCTGAAAACGATTGAACCAATTCGGGTCATGAGGATCATGCTGATGCACTCGCTTCGCAGACCTGTTGTATTCCACCCACATGCTGAGGTTTCATCCTGTGATGTCTCCTGGCTGCTGCTTTTGGTTTCCACTTGGCACGAGGCGAGCATTGATGCAGACTCTGCGCATCGCTACTCGTGACGTCACCGAGGGTGTTGGTATATGTTGGTATCCTCGTGTTGAGTTGTTTGTCTCGTCTTTTGCAGAAGCGAAACAAACCTCTCATCGCTCCGTCTCCATCTCCGCCTGCCGAAGCTCGATTGCCACGGAGGGTCTACAACAAGCTGATGGATTTCATGCGAAGTGAGTACCGCCTTCGAGGATTTCAGGCCGGGATGTGGGCTTCCAAGTGTGTGTATGTGTCTTTGTGTATGTGTGTGGTGTGCAAAAACAAGTAAAAACAGCTTCTGACATTGTCGCATGATTTTTGTTGCCACTCGGGGTTTGTAATGTGGAAGCAAAGCAGGCGATTTGACGCAAAGACTCGTCTCTTGCGCATTGCAAATATGTTGTGTTTGATTCCCATGTTTATCCAGCCTAGCTACTTGCTACACACTATGTTTATTTGATCGGGAAGCTATCAGTCAGGTTGAGGCAAAAGGATCTACAAGACTGAAACCAAAAAGTTCTCTGAAACCCATGCATACTTTCACCTTGCTCACCCAGAAAGCAAGCAAGAGTGATAACGCGAGAGTGAAACCAGGAAGTGGTGACGCCCAATATGTACGACGCGCGGCTTTTCTTGGCTTCTGGCCACTACCAGAACTACAAGGAGCTTTTCAGCACCAACAGAGTGGATGGTGTTCAGCCATTGATTCCCCACATCTCGATGGGAGGACCATGAGTTCCAGATAGTTGGTACTTCTTCAAAGATCTGTGAAAGGACGACATGTACAGCTTGGATGTGGAGAAGCAAGAGTCAGCAGCCTGAGTCGTGGATGTACAGATAGTTGAGTGGATCACAGACACATTCGACATTCCACGATCATCACCGTAATGCTGTCGACTTGAACATCGTCATGCTGTCCTGACCCAACAAAAGGACAGGCTTCCGGCTTCGTGACTTGCTTCGGCCTGCGCGCGCGAGCTGATTCCTGCAGGTGGATGCTGAAGCCCATGAATTGCCCTGGGCATTTTGTGATGTTCGATGCGCGGGTAAGGAGTTATAAGGCACGGTTTCGTCATGGTTCGTCATGCACAGCTTGGGTGTTGGCCAAAGATGACGAAGGAAGAAGTCTACTGTTGATGTGACAAAAAATGTTTTTTCCTGGCCAAAGTCGTCAGCCTGCGCGAAACTGACAGGAACTTCCTTTGCGCTACGCGGATTTTGGAGTCCTCCACCGAAACGAGGCCCTCTGCAAGCCGAAACTGGGATCGTTTCGACACAAGAGCCGGATCGTTTCGGCGGCTGACCTCGAAGATGAAGGAATCTGAAGAACTGTGGACAGATCTCCATTGGACCACCTGTTGAACAGTCGAAAAAGTCGACAAACACACGCAGCTGCGGCGCAGCGCCGCAGGCCTCCGGTGCCTTGACGGGCTTGACGCGGGTGCGGCGCTTCCAACAAGATGTGCGGAGTCCGAGATGGCGGTCGTCGTACGTGAGGTGGAGGTCAGGTGGAGGAAGTGTCGTGGCTTTGGGGACGGAGGTCGGTTGGGATGACGTATTTGGATGGTCAATTGAGATCCGAAGGTCAACTAGCTGTGATCCCCTATGTTGGGGCTTGTGCTAGCTGCTAGGCTGTGCTTTGCTGCGCCAGGTTGAAGAATGTTGAAAACCAGGCTACTTCCAGGACAGAATACAGATGAGGATAGATCTTTGGTTCCTTGTTGGTCACCTGAGAATGCTTTTATCCGACAAAAAGAACACAAGCAGACGGGTCTGTAGCCATCTTGTTCGAGGATGATTTGGATGATTGCTTGGAACCCCAAGCAACTAGCAAACAAATGGATGTGTTCACAAACCAAAAAAGCTTGTTATGCAAAGGATCTCACTTGTCACATTGGGTTTCCAACCAGTGAAGCAGCGAAGCAACTGCTTGGGACTGGGGTCTCACCCAGGTCGACCGATGTCCTAGCATTCTGAGGATGCGCATATCTTCTGCCGCCCAGACCAGATCAAGTCGGAAGTGGCCAGTGTGGACACCTAGCTGTGCCGGAGTTCCGCCGCCGACAGAGCTCACGCTCGCTCTCTCCGACCGTCAAGTCGGTTCCTGCCGAGCTTTGTCCGAAATCGGTGTTGGGGGGGGGTTCCAGTGGATGGATTCCGATTCTATTTGGGGGGAACTCATCACGTTTTTCGTTTTTCTCGTTTTTCACGAGGTGCCCTGGATTTCTTGGATTTCGTCTACAAGATCTTTGGCTTCAAGGTGCAGTCGAGTACGATGTCTTCTTACGTGGGACGACGTGTTCCTCGAAGAATGGCTTCGTCGGAAGAGGAACGGCTTCCGCGTCGAATTCGGTGTGCACAGATGGTTAGACTCCGCTCTGCGGCAATTCTTGGGGCTCAAGAAACCCTAAAGGCAAAGATTGCTTGACTAACGGTCAATTTTCGCATCCATGGCCTTCCTGAAAGCCATCAAGTGCTTCAAGTCACGTGCCAAAGTGCTTCCTGAGACCATGTACCGAGTGCACCTGGAAAGTGAGGGTCCCTACGGCCTGATGCTCTGTGGACATGAGACCATCCAGTGTTTGGTGATCGTGAGCATTCAGAAGTCCAAAGCGGTGAAAGCTTGGAACAGCGACCATCCTCATTGTCCCTGGGATTTGCCAGTCGGAACGAGAGGCTACGTTCGTAACAAGGGCATTGCTACGGGTAACAAGATGTACAAGAACGCTACTAGGAGCTCTTGGCATTACTACTTGTAACAAAAACACATAGTAGCAAGAAGCTACTAGGTGGAGGCCATCGCTATTAGGTTGGCGGCCATCGCTACAAGTCCAACTCCATGATTGCTTCAAGGACGGGAAGGAATGCGTCGCTACTTTCGTCGGAGTAGTGTGGAAAAAGGTGGAAAAAGTATTGCTTCCAGTGAGCATCCCTTTTCAAGGAGGTTTGGACTTCGTATGTCTGCACTAATGGAGTTCGTGTGTCACTCTCTATGTTTTTTTCTTTTTTTTCGACCACCCATGTCACAGACACACGATGACACTCACGATGACACTCCACCACCACCACCTCAGGTCGCATTGAAGAGGGACATAGCCTGATGGAAGTCAACGGCCACACGGAGCCGAAGCAAATGTTGGACGAGCTCCGCCGAGCGAAGGCCGTGGATCTCCTCGTCTCCGCGGAGCCCAACGCGCAGCAGCTCTCGGTCTTCCGAGCAGCACGCGAAGCTCGGTTGCATCAGTGTGTAGATCTAGGTACGGTCCTGTAGGTCTAGGTGGGAGACTGGACATTTTGGGAAGAACATGGACTGAACAATTTTAGGTTTTTTTTTCGCTGTTTGTTACCATTGAAATACATGCCAATTACATAATACTCATTATATCATATACCCATGGTTTGAGCTGGCGAAACGCTGTGAAACAGCAGTGTTGCTTTGAAGGAGCTTTTCTGAGTTCTTTTCATGATGTTTTGAATGGACACATTCGGCATGTAGATCTCCGGTCCAAACCGGGCAAAGCCATACCCCTCGAGATCGATGCGCTCATTGGAACCCCCAACAAAAACCGCCCCAAAGAACACGGCCATGGAACGCTTCGGGAATTGCAGGCGCTGAAGCTGAAGTCCGATGCCGTGGACACATTTCTGGAAGAAGTCACGTCCTGTGACGTGGAACCCTGTTCCATTTGTCATGAGGAGATGTGCTGCCACAACACACACACAGCGCAGCACGCAGCGCAGCACGCAGCTGCTGTGGTGCGCTTGCCCTGTGGTCATCACTTCCATCAGAAGTGTGTCAAGAAATGGTTGGTCGGAGGGCGAGGTGATCCCCGCTGTCCCTTGTGCAACCGGATCTTCGAGGTGGCTTGCTGATCTTCGAGAGGTTGCCCGTTGCAGGCGAGACTGAATCAGGTGCAACGGAATACGGTGCTGAGAGGGCACCTGTTTTGGAGCGTGATGCATGAAGTGTTTAGTGGCATTTTCCGCGCTTTTCCGGAATTGCGCTTTTCCATGCTTTTCCCACCACATCAAACGTGGCCAGTACTACAGTTTGTTCGGTTCAGAATGTGACACGACTTTGTGTGCATCAGTTGCACGCCAAGGTCAATCTCGAAATTCATAATTTTTGGATATTGCATACTGGGAGCATCAGTTGCCCCACAATGTTGCACGAATTCAATTTTTTATACAATATCCTTGAGGTATTTGGCAAGGCAGCAGTTGCACGCCAAGCCCATCTGGATGAATTCGAAGAACGGTCCATGTTGCATCCTTTTCCCTTTCGCAGCAGCCATGATCTTTTTTCACTTCCAAGATCAGGTAAACCTTCATTTTCCCTGGGTACAGGTGACCTCTTTTCTGGTGAGATCCCCTTTTTCCTGGAGTGTTTGGCAGCAGTCCTCACCTCCGCCCTGGAGAGGACTCGCAGCTCCGAAAGAAATGCATCGCCTCCCGTTGACTGGAGCTGCCGTGGAGGGCAACACTTCTGTCCATATCCCTTGAAGAGGGTTGTCGCGATCGATCACAGTTTCAAGCTCTGAGAATGGCCCCAGCTGAGTGTACCATCTGAACAAAAACTCTCAGAGGACGACTCAGGCATCAGATTATCGTTGCAGCGTCGCAGATTCTTTTTGGAGGCCACCGCTACTAGGTTGGAGGTCATGGCTACTAGGCCATCGCAACTAGTTACTAGGTTGGAGGCCATCGCTATTAGGTTGGAGGCCATTCTTATTCCAGTCTCACACTCAACGAGATAGACGTGTCCCTTTGGCACCGGATTGTCCAATTTCATTGGTCCTTGATGGTCCTTGTCCAGGTGATTTTCCCCCCGTTGCTGGCTTCTTTCTGTCACTGACGTTAAGACAGAGATCGAACCACCCAATGCAAACACTGAAAACATCGTTTGATCGATGTGGAGACAGCTTTGACCATCTGAGCTCAGCCATTTGAATCCCACCAATCGGGAAATTGAAAAACAAGAATGCGCAAAAAAAACTCCCGAAATGTGGTGAAAAGCAAACGACACCATCGAAAACCCAACTCCCCGTGTGTTGTTGTTTGTTTCTGTTTCTCCAGAACGCCGTCGATCTCTTCGTCTCGTCCGGTCTCGTCTCCAGGCGAGTTACGCCTTGTCCACGCGGCCCAAGAAGGTTCGGAGCCGTCGACTCGAATTCGATCGAGACGAGGCCTTTCGTTGAGGTGTCTGAACCGAGCCGTGGTACCACGGAGCAAAGTGACCGGTCAAAAAGGATGTTTGTTTTAAGTAACTGAACAGATATGTTTAAGTACTAAAGATGTTAACTATAACATGTTTGAGTTACGATGTTTGAGTTATGTTTGTTTAACGTTATGTTTAAGTTATGTTCTCTTTTTTGAGCAGATAGCGCAGATAGCGACAGCTATGGAGTCCTTTCTTCAGCTAATGAGCTGGTTGTGGTTCTTTTGAGACGGACTATGTGGAGGGTGGCTGCCAGTACATTCTGTATAGTTCCAGCCAGCTGCATGTTAACAGCTATACAGAACTTGATTTTTTGGGGTTGTTGGGTTCTGCCTAGCTCTTTGGGGTCCATGCTGGTGCAAATCGTATCATTTATGGTAGGTAGGTCACTTTTCCCTTCGTGGGTTTGTGCACAGTGTGGTGGGCAGTGGACGGCTTCTCCCGCTTCCAATCTTGAGATGACTTCAGGCAACTACTTGTATGTTCAGATCCCATCAATGAGTCATGGAACGAAACTCAAGTTTCATTCGAATCTCTTGGATCCTCCTTTCCGCCGACCTTGTCAGGTGCACTGCCCCAGCATCCTGAGTAGCGGCGGTTTCGGCACATGCGGCAATCGGTCGTGTCGTTCGACCAAGGCCTTGGGCTCCAAGGAGATCTGGGACAATGCGGAGGTGCAGCTCAAGGTGCCCCGGCGCCACGAGTGCCGGGCCGAAGCACGGTTGAGACGGGTTCACGAAGCGGAAACGTGATGCAGCAAGAAGAGAGTGAAACCGCAGATGAAGAGAACGAATGGAACCGAGTGGTTTTCGACGCCTTGATTTCAGGCGGCCCTGGACCAGTCCGGCCGCGAGTGGTCTTTGAACCCTGGAGATGGCGCCTTCTATGGTGCCGGGCCTCGGACGAGTCGGACGGCCTTTCACAGCGACGAGTGGTGACGCATGGGAAGACAGACGGAACGCCGAGGAGCCATCAGTAGCCGAGTAGGTTTAGAAAGAACCGCCCCCCCTTAGATGAATTGAAGAAATTTGCATCATGTTAGCACACTGCTCTTTCATCCGTTTTCCAAACCAGTCTTGCTTTTTTGGACAAGTCTGGACCTGAAGAGCGACCTGTTTTTCTTCCGCAGATCAAAAACAACGATGAAGCAACAAGATGCAAAAAGCAACAAAAGATGAAGAGCTGAGCAAAAGATGAAGAGCTGATCCATCCGCCGATTGACCAAGAGCTGTCTCAGGTCCCAAGATTGACATCAGGCGTGTTTCACCTCGCCGAGCTGCGTGTCAAACGAAGAAAAGCCAAACAATTCAGTGAAGATGTTCATTTTTGTGTTTCTTTTGTCAGTGTCAGTGAACAATCAAGAATTGCAGAAGAAATAGAGCTAGATGGGGGCCGGTCTTGTTAAAGGGGCCCTTTGCACAAAGGAAACACAGCTCAATTTGATGTGAGCCCTGTACTTCAACCCACAGTTGCCATCTGATTTGGGAAATGTCCGCCCAGTGAACAAAGTTTGGAAATTCCACCTCATCCAAGGATGATCAAAAGTTTCATAACGCGAGGCGAGCATCAGGGTGATGGGTTCGACATGGCGCCAGGCTTCAAGATGCCATGAAGCGCAAGCATCAGTGCGGCACGTGGCCAGCTGAGATGCCGTTGATTTTGCTTCGGGCACTGAGGGCGTGTTCCGAGGGCACGAGGGCACTGAGGGCACTGCCAAGTCTGACTAGGTTTGAATCATTTTGAATCTATTTCGTTACTAGGTTGGAGGCCATCGCGACTATATAGCTTGGAGGCCATCGCTCTGGAGGCCATCTATTAAGGAGTTCCTATGACATGAATTTTCGACGTGGTTCACCTCTGGAAGATTGTGAGGGTTTGAACGTCCTTCCTTTCGAGTCATGCGTGGGACTTATAACAAGCACTGAGGATTCAGCTTGACTTCAACGGGCCAATCAGGAGACGACCATTCTTTGTCGGGACTTGGTGTTATCATGTCGCTTTTGAAAGGCAGACATCCGAATGTGAAGTAAGCTCCACATGTCACGCGAATTCAGCGATGTTGCGATGTTGTTGGAAGAAACAGAAATCAAGACGGTGGCGGAAAACCCTGTTTTTAAAAATAGAAATGAACAAATTGGTTCCTTTGGCAGGTTCAATTTGCAATACCGCAAAGAGGGCGTGGAGGAGACGGAGGACACAGAGGAGAAGCAGCACCCGCACCCGGTTTTCGGGACGTCACTGTCGCGGAGCGACGCACGGAGTGGTTCGGCACCGTTCGGGCTAGACACTTAAAGACTCTTAAGCAATGGCCTCCGTCCTAGTAGCGATGGCCTTTTAACCTAATAGCTCTCTTTTACAAAGCGCGCAGAGTCTGTTTGTTGACTTCGCATGTCATTCCCTTCCCCCCGGTGTGGTGTTTTCGAGATGTGGAAAACTGAACTGCGCCCTCCCTGGCAGCATCTCTCGCAGGAGAAGGGTGAGTGCGAGCCTCGAGCGGTCTCTCTCGCCTTGCCTTGGGGCAGGCAACAAACGCATCGTCAAGAAACTATGTTTACTGGTTTTGATCGGTATGACAGTTGAATGAAAAATAGTTCATGGAGCGTCCTTGCTCCTAGTAGAGATGCCCTTTGCTCCTAGTAGCTTCTTGCTCCTAGATCAACACTTTTTTTGCGAGAAGTGTGCAGACATCTTGTTGCTCTTGGCAGAGGTCACAGGAGACCCTTTGAGAGGTCACATGCGTTTTCCTGCTGTTGTCCTGCAAGAAGCTATTACAAAAAAGAATTAGGATTAAAAGATATTAAAAGTAATTAATCCAAACTCCCATCAATTCCCGCTTTCACCTTTGACACTGAGGTTCAAGGGCGCGGAAGAAAAGAACGCCAAGGGCGAGGCCGCGACCTCTGTGGACTCTTGAAACTCTAAGAACCAAAGAGAGCACCAAAGAGTGTCAAAGAGTCCTGTCTCTACACTTCCCCCTTCGAGCGGTCACAGACGTAGCGTTCTGTTTGCTGAAACCGCAGCATTTGGGCTTCACACGACGCGTGCTGGGGCGCAGGGTGTGCTGGAGGCACGTCCAGACGACGTCCACGTTTTGTGTCGGCACAGCGCGGGTCGGATCTCAACTCCGCCAGGTGCCATGTCCGTGGTCTTCAAGCGCATTCCAATTGGCGGCAGCGCTGCTGTCTTCAAGGCACGGCCCGTCGACATGTTTACAGAAAAATGTTGAAAAGCAGCCCCTTGACCTGTTTAACAGCAATTCTACAGCAAGCCTTACTAAGTATTTGTTCCTTTCTTCCAAGAGCGACTGGTGGCAAGCTTGTCAAACCGAGAACGACTGGGCGTCCGCCACATCTCAGGCGCTCAAGACCTATCGCCCAGGGCCCAGCCTGTCGACGGTGCCGTCCATCACGAAGACCTCAGCTCCTTGGCACAGCAAGTACGCTACGAACGGGGCTCCTGATTCCTGGCCTTACTACGAACGGAGCGATCCGACGCGAACCGAACGGAGCATGTCGGGCATCGCTACGAGTCCGGAGCACGTACGCTACGAACGGGCCGCCCAGGGGAGCAAGGACCTCAGCTCCTTCGCACGGCCGACGCAACGACGACGTTTCCCCATCGCCGGTGACGAGGGGGGAGGTGACGTTCGATGCGCAACGTGACGTGGGCGCGGACGAGGTCGTCGCAGAAATAGATCGGCAAAACCCGGTGACTTATTGTCATTGTCATATTGGATGAAAACGGTCGAAGAAGGTGGGCAAAAGCAAGGGTTTGGTTCTTGTGTGATAGGCACCATGTTCACGTCACGTTGTCTAAGGTCGAGGAGGCCTTGGTGGCGGTTTGCTCCTCAGGATGCAGGAAAAAGAACAGTTTTCGCTGGCAAGATCGAAGGAACATGAAAGTGATAAGGTGTTCGTTTTTCTTGAGTTGCAAAATTGCCATTTTAGTTGACGCGATGGTGGCCTCGGTGGATTTCTGAGAGGCTCTCCAGTGTGGTCTCTTGTGCTTGTTCGATTGAGGCAAAGACCAAAGTCACTTTCTTGGAGGTTGTCGCTTGGCTTCTCGTCGGGTGCACTCCACTCCACTCCAACCGGCTCTCGTCCACTCCACTCCGTGGTGCAAACCGTTTTCACCGTCACCTCGACACTCCCCGATGGACCGGACCTTTGGTCGCGTTTCGACAACACCCAGGAGACAGTGAAAGGATTGCCTGTGAAGAAGGACGTCACCACCAAGACCATCGACCCGTACTTTGCAGCCTACATCAAAGATGTCACTTGAACTCAACCGAACGGCGTCGAACTGGCGACCTTGTCGCGGCGCGACCAAGCCGTGATTTTTCGTGAGAAGTCACCAGTGGAGGCATCAGAGGAAGCAGAAATTATATGAAATGATCACTTTCTTGGATTTTGTTCCGCATCGCCGTCAAATTGAAATGTTGAAATGTGATTGTGTACAAGGTTGCAACATCTTCGCTGTACTTACTCTAACTCTTAGCGCTCAGGTGAGCAAGGCCTTCTTCGGCAAATAGAGGACATCACAACCGACAGAGTTCACCTCAGGGCTCTTGGCGTCTGTGACAGACGGTCTTGCGTCTCTTTCGGTGTCGACAGATATGGACAGGAAAGTGTGTGAGCTGCGCCTGTGCAGCTGGACTTCGGCATATTTTTGCATAGGAAAAGGCGCCAGCGGATCCGCGTTTCTGTGACAGGAGGCACCTGTGGTCTTTCGAAAGATTTTGGTGCCCTTGGATTTGGATTGGTCCACAAGAGACCGCTCAACTCAGCTTTAAGGAACCTAATAGCTTCCAATCTACTAGCGATGGCCTCCAACCTAAGAGCGGTGGCCTCCAACCTAAGAGCGATGGCCTCCAACCTAAGAGCG